CCCCCCCCCCCACACACACAGCAGCAAAGAGGGTTTGGAGTCAGAAAATACTTTGGGAGTGACGAATCGTGGAGTCTTTATACCTATCTTGGGTAGTGCTAATGTCGGCGGTACTGCAATTTTTGAAGCCTTATAATTCGAAAAGTACTTAACGAAAAAATATTTAATTATAGTGTTTTGAAAAGCTTTCGAAATAAGCTACAAGAATATGGAATGAAAAATAGGGAATTCCATTTAAAAAAATGAAGATAATCTTCACAACCTTCAAACAACAATCCAAATCGTTCCCACTATCTTATGTCCTCCTTGAAACAATATAACTCTTGTTTCAAAAATTTTTTTCTTAAATGCTTTCCTAAAGAAATAATCTAGTGAAAACTTTAAAATAGGACACCCTGAATAAATAAATAAATAAATAAATAAATAAATATTATATACATATATATATAAGAGAGAGAGAGAGAGAGACTTCTCACTGTCAGTTGATACCCATTGTACCTAGCGACAGGCTCAAAGTTCGAGATTCAATATATTGGTGTTTGTCGCTAAATATAACAGTTGCCATATACTTGTAGGCCACTCTGAACAAAAAATTCTTTACCATTTTAAATACACGCAAATTTTTTAGTTATTACTTAAAGAAACCTTTAGACATAACTATTTTCGATCATTAATAACTTTATGTAGTTGTTTGCAAAATAATAGAGGACTTTTCTGCTCAGTTTAACCTACCTTCGCACGAGCAATTGGAAGAAAAATTTCGGACATCCTGTATATACGAGGGCAGTCCGATAAGTACTTAGCCTACAAAAGAAAAACGAAAATTTTGGAAAAGTGACGATTTATTTCTCAACATAGTCTCCTTTTAGCTCGATACACTTGACCCAGCGATGCTCCAACTTCTTTAACCCATCTGAAAAATACGTTTTCTCGAAGTCTGCAAAGTAAGCCTCCGTGGCGGCGATGACCTCCTCATTCGACTCAAATTTCTGCCCGGTGAGTGACTTTTTCAAGTTTAGAAACAAAAAAAAGTCGCACGGGGCCAAATCTGGAGAATACGGTGGATGGGGCAGCAGTTCGTAGTCCAATTCGACCAATTTGGCCGTGGCGACGGCGGAGGTGTGAGCCGGTGCGTTGTCATGGTGGAAGAGATAATACTTTGCAGACTTCGAGAAAACGTATTTTTCAGATGGGTTAAAGAAGTTGGAGCATCGCTGGGTCAAGTGTATCGAGCTAAAAGGAGACTATGTTGAGAAATAAATCGCCACTTTTCCAAAATTTTCGTTTTTCTTTTGTAGGCTAAGTACTTATCGGACCGCCCTCGTATATAAGGTGGTCCCTGAACTTAGTGTCAAAACTGATACAGCGGCTTTAGCACATGAAAATAAATCGGAAATGCCTAATAAACATATATCCGAATTCGAATAGTTTTGAAATTACTGAGTATTGAAGTTATTTTCATAAGCAAATATAAATTGAAGTAAATATTGTTTAATGTTTTTTTTAATTTTTTTTACAGCTTTACAAAAGATGTTCAAAATTGTTCCGTTAACCCTACGTCCGCACTTTCTAGCATGAATTAATAAATTGTTTCGAGTTATTTGAAAAATGTTTGGGGTTTCACTGATAACATCGGTGGAATTGACTGTCAGTTGTCATAATTGTTCTGAATCGATCTCATCCTGATGGACTAGATCTTTCATATGTCCCAAAGTAAAAAATCCAGTAGTGTAAGGTCGAGATTTCTTGCTGACCATTTAATATGATCCAGGCTTCTCCCAATCCAATTAGGATCTAAAAAGTATCTACCTTACATCACTTGATTTTTTTCCTTTGGAGACACATGAAAAATCTAGTCTACCAGGATATGAGATTCACGATTCAGAACAACTATGACAATTGACATTTAACCCTTTGCACTCGGAGCCATCTCAAGAGCCATCTACCAACAACTCGGCGGCATCTGCTTAGGAAGGCGCGCAGACGGGAATCGTGTCATATTAAATAGTTTATCTTCGGAATTCAAGTAATTTATTTTCATGCCGCTTGGTTTATATGAATCGTTAGGTATTAAGGAACACATTTCTGATAAAAAAATACAAATTTTATGTTTTATAATTTTCTAATGTGTAGTAACGTGTAAAACAGCCACCGATGTGCATCGCGGATTCGTTGGTGCACGTTGAACAAAAGTAATTTGTTTGTCGTCTTCCACCCGGTATTTCTCAATGTGAGCAGACAATACAGTCTCGTTTTCTTCCTCCAACAATTAAAAAGTGCAGCTTGTTGTTTAGCCGCTATGAATGCACTACAAACGTTCCGCTTCGACGTAATGCCGGCTGACATTTTTTCCATATATCTCAGTATATATACCATATTTTGATTTGCTTTCTTATGCCATTTCAATAGAAAACTTCAAAGACACATGCAGTTTTCAAAAAATGGCCGCGGCATAAGCTTATCCTCTGTAATCACTAATAAACTCTGATGTCCCCTGAGAGGGGACATCCGAGTGGTTCGCTAGACCTGCGATGTCGCCTCAGAGGGGACATCCGAGTGCAAAGGGTTAATCCTGCCGATGTCATCCGCGAAACTCCAAACATTTTTCAAAAAGCTCGTAACAATTTATTAATTCGTACTAGAAAGTATATCAAAAACAATAAAGAAATTTTTTGGCACTTTTTATATAGTTTTAAACAAGATAAAGAACATTAAATAACATTTACTTTTAACTCATACTTTTAACTCATTTACATTTAATTTATATTTCTTTACGAAAGTAACTTCAATATGCCGTAACTCCGAAACTCAAAATTTGGACATATTTATTAAGCATTTTCGACTTCTTTTCATGTACTAAACTCGCTCTACTAGTTTTGATACTTCTGGGACACCTTATGTGTGTACGTACGTATATATGTATATATATATATGTATGTATGTATGTATTTATGTATGTATGTACACACAAGATGGTCTACATAAAGTATTATAACCCAAAAACTTTAAAAATATTTGTCGTGTCAAAAAGTTGTTCATGAGAAAGTTTCAAGTATTTTTTCTATGTAAACCAAAATTTCCCCCCATTCATTCTTGAAGGGAGGCGGGAGGTAATTTCGTAATATCAAATGGAACCTCCTATGAAATATTACATATTTAGATTTTACGGGAAAAAACAAGTAAACTTTATCTGGAACATTTATTTGAAAAATGCTTCTATCAAAAGTTACAAACATTTAAACTTTCAAGTAGAATGCATTCAAGCTAATGATAAAACTATAAAGGAAATAATATACTTCCTAGTTTTTCTGCTTTTTGTACTTTATTAAATGTTCGAACTGTTAACAATTCACATTTAAATATTTATTAATTCTTTTTACAAAATTTTATCTAACTCTAGATAACATTTTTTGAGTCACGTTCACTTGATCTTACATCTCTGGATCATGTAGTTTTCATGGGGATATATCAAAGAAAAAGTCATATTTCAACTACCTACGACAAAAGAAGACTTAAAAGGAAGAATACGTGAAGCTTGCGCTAGCGTGACCCCAGAAATGATATTTAGAGGTAGGCAAAATTTTGTAGAAAGAATTAATAATGTTTAAATGTGAATAGTCAACAGTTCGAACATTTAATAAAATAAAAAAACAGAAAAAATTATTAAGTATTTTATTTAATTTATGGTTTTATCATTAACTTAAATGCATTCTACTTTAAGTTTAAATGTTTATAACTTTTGATAGAAGCATTATTAAAAGAAATGTTCCAGATAAAGTTTACTTATTTTCTCCCATAGAACCCAAATATGTAACACATATGTAACATTTTATAGGAGGTTCCATTTGAAATTACGAAGTTACCCTCCCCACCTTCCTTCAAGGAGTGAGGGAGCATTTTGGTTTATATAGTTATTAAATACTTGAATTAATTCTCGCTGTTTTTTGATACAAAAACTCATGTTTAAGTCAAAAGAACGGTATATCTTATTCAAAATATTATCCTTCGGAATCTACAACCCGTTCGGGTTGTATCTATTCACTTTTCGGGTAACACATGGATCCCGCGATAGAAAAATTCAGGTTCTTTTGAGGCGATCCAGTCACCAAGCTATTTTTTGATATCTTCGAAACAACTAAAATGCTGTTCAGAAAGGCTATGCCGCATTGACTGAAACAACTGATAATCTGAAGGAGCAACGTCTGGTGAATAGAGCAGGTGAGGTAAGACATCCCATCCAAGGGTTTCCAAGATTTCCTCCACTGGTGTTGCAACATGTGGTCTATCATTGGCATGAAGAAGAATAATTTTGTCATGTCTTTTAGCGTATTGCGGGCGTTTTTCTTTGAGTGCTCGATTCAAATTGAGTAATTTTCGTCGGTAGCGTTCAGCATTGACGGTTTGACTCCGTTACAACAGCTCACAGTACATTACACCGCACTTGATCCCACCAAATGCACAACATAATCTTCTTTCCATGAATATCCTGTTTCAGCGTTGATATTGATTGTTCGCCGGGATGCACCCATGATTTCTTACGGTTAGGATTGTCGTAACGAATCCATTTTTCATCGCCAATTACAATTCGATGCAAAAATGACTTCCGTTTTTGTCTTTGAAGTCAATTCACAAATGGTTAAACGTTTCGCAATGTCTCTTTCTCTCAATTCATGTGGAACTCAGTTTCCTAGCTTCTGGATCATTCCCATTGCTTTTGAACATTTGCTAACGATTGACTCATCGACATTTAACATTTTCGACAACTCTTTGAGCGTTTGACATGAATCTTCTTCCAGTAATACCTCCAGTAATACCTCAAATTCTTAATCTTCAAACTTTTTCGTCTGACCAGGGCGCTCTTTGTCATTCACGTCAAAATCGTTGTCTTTGAGTCGCCTAAACTAATCTCTGCAAGTTGTTTCAGGTAGAGCATGCTTTCCATAATAAGCCTCCACTAAGAAACGATGACTTTAAGCAGCAGATTTTTTTAGATGAAAGCAGGAAAATAATGCTTCCCGCAAATTCTCTTTTTTAGTACGAAACCCGACATCTTCAATGCAATAAAAAATGGTGTTCTTTGCACTACAATCTAATGTCACACACTGATTGTTAAAGCCTATTGACAGTACTTTCATATACATCAACAGTCACTTTCGGCCATGTGTAAATACCATAACTACTGACCTTTATTAGTCAACAGCGAGAATTAATTCAAATACCTAATAGAAAGACTCCTCGAATACATGAAACTTTCTCATAAACAACTTTTTGATACAATATTTTTAGTTTTTGGATTTAACACTTTATGTAGACCATTCTATATATGAACGATGAACCACGCAACGTGAACAACTTAGTTTATTCTGCTGTTACTGGACCGCTTGAAAATTTTTTTTCTAGTATAACATGGTTCAAGGTGAGCTGAGAGATAATTTTAAAGCTCACCTTGAACCATGTTATCTTGGACAAAAAAATTTCAAATGGTTCAGTAACAGCGGAATAAACTAAGACGATCACTCTGTGTGTGCGTGCGCGCGCGCGCGTGTTATGTGTGTGTGTGTGTGTGTGTGTGCGCGTGCGTGCGTGCGTGCGTGCGTGCTGCGTGTGTTAGTGCTATTATAGAACGGTTCTATCTTTCCTTAGTTAAAAGAAATATATTCAAATTAATAATTAGTAATTTAACGTACGTATATAAAATTATCGAGATGAATTTATATACTGACCAGAAATGTTTGTCGTAACAGTATGATAAAGCAGTGGATGATGCTGATGTTGATGAAGCGCACTTGCTTGTTGCTGCTGCTGAATAAGCAACTGTAACTGATGTTGCTGAAAACGCTCTAATTCTTCTCTGTGTCTTCTCTGCAGTGTCTCTAATTCCAGAGTTTGCCTTAAGTGATAAAATACAATATATGTAAATATAATCATGTTTTACAGTGTTAAAGTGAGAAATTTGGGATAATATGATTCTTCTTTCATTGTTATATTATAATTAGCCTCACCTTTTTATAAGTAGCTGGTATTCTTCACTCGGTGTAAGAACTACGAATCTTTCTTCTTTTTCAGGCTGCAATAAAATATAATTACAATAATTACAAAATTTTAATAGTAGAGGAGACCGGGGAGATAGTTGGTGCATGGAATAGGTAATATATTTAATATAGCTCTAAAATAACAAACGTTCGACAATACTGCATAAAAAATATAGTATTATCGTAAAAATATTATGGTTATATTTTAATAACCATTTTTAAAGCCATGGCATATTTTCCAAGATATATCATGTTTTAAATTTTATACATTCGAAAGTAAAAACATCAGTTATATACTATAAATCCTGTCGTTATTACATGTGATCTTGTGATATCACTTAATACACAAAAGATATTGTTATATCATTTAATTTTAAATCTTGTTATTATATGATAATCCGGGCTGTTTTTTTAGAAACTTTGCTTTAAAACTAATTTCTAGTTATGTTGGTGTTGGAAACATATTTTTTTCTAAATCAATAATCAAAATATCAAAATATAATAGGCCGAAGTTAATTAGGACGGGGCATGTTGAGACAGCTATCATCTTGGATATAGATAAACAAGTTGAACTTTTAGAATTTTAACCGAATATTAAATAAGCAAAGAGACAACTTTTATTATTATAGGGTTTACGAAGAAAATAGGAAATGAAATGATCGACTCTGCAAAAATCGGACTTCTTCCTAAATCTATCTATATGATATCCAAATGTTTTCTCTTACAATTATTAATAAAAATTATACTATACACACACTTTTCTTTCAATTTTCTTTGTTAAATACATTGTAATTTAGAAAAAGTTATTTCTGTCACAACTTATCCCGATACCTATACGTGTACTAACTTACCCCATCATCTAGAACTGGTTGTTACAAGTTTCGTCGTCTAATATTTTTTATTGATGCAAGAAAACCAATTATACTGTTGAATTAAACATTTTTTTACAGTATAAACATATGTTTATTGAAAAATTCGATTGCAATGTGTATTCCATTTAGAAGTTCCTTGTGAAAAAAATGTTAAAAAAAAGGTATCAACCAGCCCTGATCTCTTAATTATCCCCTAATTATTAAGTTAATATATTTACTTTGTTTATAATCTATCACGACATAAAATATTACTTAACTTATCATAATAAAATTAGGAAACTTAGGAAAAATAAACAGCTTTTAATGATCTTGATTACTCGCTATGATTGTCTTTGTTTAACTTTGTCACTATAACCCTCATTTTTAGTGATTAAGAAACATCATATGTCTATTAGTATATTGTCAGAAAATTGATTTAATAGTTATTGAATCGCTTACCATAAGATATAATCATTGTTTTCTTCCTTTTTGTTTACTTTTTACATAATTTCAACTTTTTACATAGTTTTAAATTTATATAATTTAATTTTTTAATTTATATATACATATATCTTACATTTTATGAAATCGTACAATGACATGTAAGTTGAGTAACATAGAATAGAATAGAATAAAATAGAAATTGTGGAACAAGATAGAATAATATTAAAATTTTTGATATTAACTTTATCCTTAAAATTATTATACTGTAGACCAAAGCTCGGAATTGGATGCCCTTTTCAACCTGATTTCAGAAACGATGCCTATTTGCCTATCGCTCCCTACTCGACGGCCGAGCCACCGATTGCTCTGCCTCAGAAGCGTCCCTCCGTATGGGGCTTATGTTGGGTACCTTCCGCCAAACTTTCATTAAAATATTTCCTTGCAAACTAATTATTATTTCCATAAATGAATAAGCAATAAATTTTCTATCGGTAATATGTATGTTTTACGATAATATAGTATATAGTCATTTTAAATCTATCGTCTTTTAAAATTCGATAAATTATACTCTAATTATTTTGTCATCACATTATATTATAAAACGTAATATACAATATCTTACTGATAGAAAATTTAGTGTTTATTTATTCATAAAAATAACAATTATTTTATAACGAAATATCTTAATAAAAATTTGGTGACAGTGGAAAGTACCTAACATGTTTCATACACAGAGAGATGCTCCTGAAACAGAAAGACCGATTATTCGGTCATCGAATCTGGAGCGGTTACTGGCAGTAGACATCATTTCTGAAATCGGGCCAAAAAAGGCATATAATTCCGAGCACTGATAAACCATAATTTATATCTTATCAATGTCACAGTCTTAAAATTTATTAATTTTTAGCTTTAACTCAGTAATAAAAAAACTACGACATAAAAACTAAAAAATATGAAACTAAAAATGCAAAATTAAAATGAAATCAAGATTTAAATTAAAAAAAAATGAAATTTTATAAAATTTAATTCTTTTATAGACATAGACCCTGTTAGTCTTATAGTTTTCATATTTATCACATCGGCTTATCATAGTCATTACATATTTTCTGTGATGTTGGCCATAAATAGGAAAATTACAAAAGTTGCACATCATTTTTGTCTATCAGACATAAAAATTTACATAAAAGTAATATTCTACATTTCAGAGACGTAGTAGGTTTCCAAACAAAGCCACTCACTTACTTTAGGCACTTTTGTTAGGTTCGCCATAGTTTTAAGACCAATTAAACAGCCGACATAGTTTTAAGACCAATTAAACAGCAGAAGAATATATGCGTGCGTCAGCGATTGTATGGGGAAGAAAGGAAATAGAAGAAGCTACGCATTATGTTTGGCAAATGTAGAGTTGTAGTGATAGGGTTAATATTGTAAGAAGCAAGAAAACGCATGCTAAAAATTCTTGTGTTATATATACAAATAAAAAGATATACTCACAAAATGACATTTATGATCGATTCAACACTTATAAAATTGTTCGAACACTTTCTTTTTACTTGAACAATCAATAAATATCAATAAATAGTTGTGAAATTAACTTAACATAGAACTTTCTTTTCTAAATTCTTTTCTCGTGATTTTTTCAATGTTAATTTTATGACTATTTATTGATTATTTAAGTAAAAAGAAACTGTTCAGACAATTTTACAAGTGTGCTAAATTGATCACTTGAATGTCACTTTATGAGTATATTTTTTTACATGAACATATAACACAAGAATTCTTGCCATGTTCGCTTTCTCGCTTTTGATGTCATTAAACAAGGACAATTATAGCGAGTCAGTGCCCTTATTCTGTAACTCAAAGCTTAATAAAATCTGTACACTTCGCCCAATTTTTAGCTCATTTCGCCTAGCGCTATTCCCCTTACGTCTTCCCCCGTGCGACTTGCTGCGTGCAATATGCAGCTCGATGTTCCTAATTTCGTCTAAAAAAAATCCCGAAAATCGGAGTGAATATTAGTTCTTCATTTCATTTATTTCACCCTACTACTTTTGAATAAAAGGTCATATCAATTATCAGTGAATTAGGTCTACTGAACAGTATAAAAAAAAAACGAATCAACAATGGTACCTCATTAGTAACGCGGAAAGCTATTGGAAACAAGTTCACGCGTCGTACGTTATTAAACCTCATGCGGCCCGTCGGCTGCGCGCAGGAGAAAATGTAAGAGGAATAACACTAAGCGGAGCAAACTGAAAATCGGGCGAAATGTGCAAATTTTGTCGAGCTCTGCTGTAACGACAATTATCATTACGTCGTCGTTGCACAGGTATAACTTATGGCAAGAAAGCTACGCAACAACACCGTAATGATAATGACATATCGTTAAAAGTTACAGAATCGGGCTATAGGAGCCTTAAGAAACATAGCTCTATTTTAGTTATTAAATATTAATATTATTTATATTAATATGTCTGCGAGAAGATGAAGATAAGGCTTGATCGCGTATATTATCGCACGTGCCAGATAACATTTTTCCTGCGTTAGGAAAATAAATCTTATCCAAGCGAATTATTAGGTTCCTTACGTTAGGAGAATAAATCTTATCCAAGCGAATTATTAGGTCTATAACTTGAAACCCGCCTTCTAGCGATAAATAGCTGTAGCTTTGACAATTGTCAACTGTAATGGCTGAACATCATTTTTAGTTTTGACTGTCAATAATATTCAATATATAAAAGTTTGTGTTTGTAACAATAACATAGTTTTTTGCCTTTCTGTTTCAATTTGAAGAAAATTGCTGCTGAACCTCATCGAATGCTTGTTGAAGTTTATAGGGAACTTGCTCCATCGGAAACAACTTGCAAGGAATGGTTTCGACAATTCAAACTTGGTGATTTTGACACGAATGATAAAGAACGTCCAGGCCGGCAAAAAAATTCAAAGATACAGAACTGCACGCATTGGTGGATGAAGATCCATATCAAACATAAAATCAACTTGCAAAAACGTTGAATGTTACTCAAGCAACCATTTCCAAGCGTTTAAAAGCTATGGGTAAGATATACAAGGAAGGAAGATGGGTGCCATATGAACTGAAAGAAAGAGACATCGAACAGCGAAAAACCATCTCCGAAATGCTGCTTGTCAGGCAAAAAAGAAAGGGGTTTTTGCATCAAATTGTGACTGACGATGAAAAGTGGATCTATTTCGATAACCCCAAACGCCGAAAAACCATTTGTTGTGACCCAGATCAACCATCGACATCGACGCCAAAACGCAATATTCATGGAAAGAAGGCCATGCTCTGTATTTGGTGGTACCAGGGTGTGGTATATTATGAGATACTGAAACCTGGTCAAACAGTCACAGGGAATCTCTATCAACAACAAATTATCCGTTTCAGTCGAGCATTGCGCGAAAAACGACCAGAATATGAGACAAGACAGCATAAAGTAATCTTGCTTCATCACAACGCTCGACCTCACGTCACTAAGGCTGTCAAGGAAACATTGGAAGCACTTCGCTGAGAAGTGCTATCCCATGCGGCTTATTCACCAGACTGTGCCCCTTCCGACTTGTTTCGGTCGAAGACACACGCACTTGCTGAGGAACACTTCAACTTTTATGAAAGCGTCGAAAAAGCGGTCCCTGACTGGATAGCCTCTCTAAAGATGAGTCGTTTTTTCGCCGTAGGATCCGCTTATTGCCAGAAAGATGGGAAAAAGTCATATCTAACGATGGCCAATACTTTGATTGATGTATTTTTTTTTCATTTGTTTCTTAAATAAAGACTTAATTTTTGCAAAAAAAGGCGGGTTTCAAATTAAAGACCTAATAAACAAAAACAATAAAACTTACTTCAATATTTGGAATATTATTACTATGAGTTGCCTGTACAATTGGTGGAACAGAATTCTCTCGGCTATGAGGTACTTGTACAGGTACACCTGCAATTAATATAACGATGCATATGTATTAAGCGATTCTATGGAGTAATTAAAAAGTAAGGAACCGGTGAAATATCTGGAAAACAAGACTGACACATACACACACAACAAAGAGGGTTTTATCATTAAATATTATGAGAGTGACGTACCGTAGGGTTCTCATTCCTGCTGACGCACACATGCACGTACATTCACACATTCACACACACAAAAAGTGTAAATCCAACCGGGCTACCTCCACGCGATACATCACTTGGATAATGCTAACGGCCGTACCTGAACTTTGTCAACTCATAACTCGGAAAAGATTTAACCAAAAGGAGTCTCATTGTAATATTTTAAAAAGATCTGTATGTCAGCTACGAGAATATTGAATAAAAATTAGGGATTTACATTTAAAATTAAGTTGATTTTTAGAATTCCTCCATACTTGTACTCAAAGTCAAATAGGTATTGCTGTTTGATGCATTTGTTGAAACCCTACAACTTTTGTATGAAACATTTTTTTCTTCAAATGTCTTGTTTTCCAAATATTTCGCAGGCCTGATATTTTTTAATCACTCTGTACATGCATAAATATATTTTGATATTTATTAATTTAAGAGACCATTCAATAATTACATCACGAGAAAGAGGGAATTTATTAGCTTGCGTGACGGTTTGTAATGGCAGTGAAAGGAGGGAGGGAGTAAAGGCCATAGAACATCACATTAGATAGCATAATTTGTAAATATGGTTTCGCGTAGTTATCTACTTTGCATTCGTGACACATTTAATTAACTGATTAATTGATTTGGCAAACATTTTTATGTTTTGACATGGTTTTATTAATATAATTAACATAATAATATATAATGGTTATAATAATAATCATAAAATAAAAATGTTTATTTTTTAATATTTATTCTTTTAAAAACACAACATTTGTTAATAAAAATTATAAAATAAAGTAATTAATTTGATATTATATGCCTAAAAATTATTTGTACTGAAGATAAAGATACTGAAGGTACTAAAGATAAAGATAAGATTGATATTGAAGATAAAGATAGTAGCATGCATCTAATAATTATTACCTACAATATGGTTATAAACTATTTTTTTTATCCTATATGTCAGCAGGAGAGGGATAGTTCCACATATCACGTAATATTGGAAAAGAACAAATAATTTGTGATGGAATTATGACGAAGAGGGAGAGAAGTAAAAATACGAAAATTGAACGTAACATATAATTGTTAAATGGTCCCTTAGTGTGAGTTTCCATTCATTAAATTTTTACTTATAAAGCTAAGTTGTAATACTCAAGTTATAATAAATCCCTTACCATGCAGATCGTCTGTATGAGGAGGAACATTTTGCCGTTCTAAGATTTTTAATTCTTCCACTTGTTGCGAAAGAGTTCTCGCCGCATCACTAGATTGCTGTTGATTGACAGTAGCATTGCTATGAGCAGGCGGGCCGGCAACTTTGGAGACCACGAATCTGGATATCTTTCTGGCAGGTTGTGCAATATTCGCCTTCTATCAACGTTGAATTAATATTTTTATATTAATGCATTGCGTATAGCATTCTTCTCACCCAACTTACATCCAAGGACTATATACTTTGTCAATCACTGAATAACATTTAAACAATTCTTTTGTTATCAATTATAAGATTGCATAATCTTAATAACGTAGCAAAAGGTATTTCTTCGAATCTATTGAGTTAAGATATCTGTTCAGGAAGTATAACAGGTTTCTCTCTCTCTCTCTCTCTCTCTCTCTCTCTCTCTCTCTTTCTCTCTCTCTCTCTCTCTCTCTCTCCACACGCACGTACGCACTGTCAATTCGCTTCAAAGCATTTTCTGAGCAGTAAAAATTATAGAGGTTGGTACCTTTCTCACTATATATATATCATTAATAAAAATCACATTATATATATAAGATATCGGTGCATCAGTTCTTATAGATCATATGCAAACATGAGAGCAGTTTAGCTGTCAAAAATAATAAGAAGTTTTATTCTTAAAAAGTTTTATTCTTAAAAAAGTAAGATGTTCAATATGTTCATCAGAGTCATTGTTTGTTTTCTTGAATTCGCTTATTAATAACTCGTTTTGCCTGAATGAACAAACAAGAATTATGGATGGACAAACGTGAACAAGTTGTGAACAATCGATTCCATTACATAATTTAAAGAAAATGTAGTCAGCATGTGCTTTTGGCAGTCTGCTTAATCTAATAAAAACAACATTAAAAAATTAGTTCTTTTCACATTATGAACATTGTGTCATCAGAGTCATTATTAATTTTTATTTTCTTTAAATATTTTGATTTGTTCTTATAATCAAGTTTTTTTAAAGATTTCATATTGAGCAAGAAAAAAGTCGAGTAAAAAAAGTGAGTTTATTTCTTAAAAGTGAGAAAAATTTAAATGTTTCTAAATAAGCGAAAAAAGACGAAAAAAGCAAGTGTTTCCATGCGTGTTTGCATATATTTTGTTTTTTGGCCCGATTTTAAGGGGATATTCTGGTCTAAAATATCAAAACATTTTTCTATACATTAATAGTTAGTTTTATGTAAAAATATATTCTCGAAGCGTTTTGTTAATATTCGATGATTTTACGAAGTTATAAACAAAAAAGTAAACGGAGCATGAGTCAAAATCAAAGCGCTTAATCCAGCATGTCCGGTGTTTATTATTAGGGTTTCGTTTTTCCACTTATCGTTTTTCAAATAATTTGCTATAGTGATGCTTTGCAAGTATTCACAAAATAACAATAAAAGCTACAACTCTAATGTTTGTCAATTTGCTTCAAAACATTTTCTCAGCGGTAAAATTATAGAAATTGATACTTTTCTCATTGTCTGCACATTTAATGAAGGATTTTCATTTCATTTCCTCTTTTGTTAAAAATACTTGAAACGGGAGTCAAAATTGGACTATTAACAAAGATATTCGCCGATAAAAAAGATGAAATTTGATTACAAGCAATAACGCGATACTTATTATAGATGACAAAGAAGGCTAGAATAGCAAAAAGGCTTGGAAAAAAAACAAGAATTATTCGAAGAAGCAGAAGTTTGTTACATAGCTTTGGAATTGCTGATTAAGTAATGAAAATCGCATATTATAGCGTACTAAAAATTTTAAAACTGTTTTTCTCAAAACCACGTCTTATTTTTGTGCGACAAATTTTTTGAAAACTATTAGAAATATCAATATGAATTTTTTGTAAGCATATATTCCTCTTTTGTTGGAACTAAAATAAATAGTAGAAATTTATTAATTTTTTAATANTTCTTACAAAAGCCGTCATTTTGTGAAATTTCGAGTTTTTTATTTAGTTTTAATTCTAACGATAACCACATTTTTCCTAAATAAGAAAAAATCTGATTTTTTCTGTATCAGATATCAGGAAGAGCCACCATTTATTGTATCGTCCCTATGCATCTTTTTTGCTCACTTTTAGTGATCAATATATAACAGGAAAAAAAAACAATATTTTCTAAATTTAAAAAAATGCTGAAATATTATTAAAATAATAATAACAGAGCATGCGAAATTTGATATTAGTTGGCTTTATATATTTTCTAAAAAAATATATGTATACTTGTAAAACCTTTTTTTTCGACTTTCCAAACCAGAATACCCGTTTATATTTGGTTCACTAAACGTGAGGTTTCTCGTGATATACGTGATATGTTAATAAAATAAAACATGCATTAGTAATATATATTCATAAAGCGATATCGAAATATTACCTCATTAATGTTATCTTGAAGTTCCGGTTGAATTGGAGTATTAGTATCGGATCGTGGTGTCACGATGCTAGGAGTGACCGTGGTTACAGATATCGTTGATATTGGCGGAACTATCGTTAATAAAGTTTGCGCAGACTGTTGCACAGAATTAATCACAGGTATAGGTGGTGTTAACGGTTGCGTGGGGACTGCTGCGAAAACCGATCCCCTGTGGTGAATTTTTGCCAACTCTTGTTCCAATTCCTGCAAACGGGACCCCGGCCTTTGAGCTCGTATCTTTATATTTTCTTTACTTGGACTCATATTTTCAGGCCCCGCTGGAGCTCCCGGCGTTGGGCTATCAAGAGAGCATTCCGTAGTCTGAAAACAAGTTTCACATAAATATTTGTGATGTAACGAGAATCACCACGGTGGTGCATCTAACACAATATCCCCTGAAAAAAACTAACAGTGTGAGAAAGCGTGAGTGTGCCAGAGTTCTCCTGAGTTACAACGGAACCCTCGACTGTCGCATCAACTTGCGTGTCAGTAAGGATAGTAGAAGAATGTATCGTTGTTTGAGGAGATAACGGGCACTGAAATCAATTGGTATATTTAGATAAATGTATATTATTTATTGCAAATATTTTCTCAAAACGAATATATAGTTTTTCAAGAAATTGCAGAGAAAACCACAGTGTACTTACAGCAGCGTTCGCACATGAGACTGGCATACCGATATTACCAAGTTTTTGTTGTAAAGAATGCATGTACGCATCGTATCCCCCTACTATTTGATGATTATGAGGCGTAGCGGGATAGCTTAAAGGAGGTGTACCAACGTTCAATGACTCTGATGGCTGACTAGTCAATTGTACAAGTTTTTGATGCAAGTCAGCTATGGTTTGCGGTCCCGTGCCACTTCCAATGTTACCGATATTGCTTATATCCGACACTTTGTCCAACGAATTCTGTTGACTGAGCTTCCGATGTTGCTGCTGCAGCTGTTGTTGAGACAATTGTTGTTGAACAAGCACTGTAGAGTCGACCGATTCAACGAGAGTATGCTCGGGCGTTACATCGTGACTGGAGTTCTCATTCTCGGATGTGAGTAACTGGCAATCAGAACTAGTACGGCGCATACTGAAAAGATAAATTGAAACTTAGTACGAATTTTGTGATGTTCGATGCATATATATTAGATACATTTTTTTCTTATAAACATCATCGTGAGTGTAATAAATGTACATACCAATTTAAATTTGAGGATTCTGAGGTTTCAGTTTCAAGAGGTTTCATCGAATGTTGTTCTGGAAGTTTCAGATGTAAGTGTGACTGGTCCGATATGACGGACGATTCACTGTGTTGTTGGTCTTGCATAGTTTGTGGTTGCGGTTGCACTGGAATTTGTTGCAATTGCGACTGATTTTGCAGCGGTTGCAGCTGACTCGGTTGTACGTGCCGTATAGACTGCTGCAAAGGAGTTTGATTAGACGAAACGATCCACTTTCCTTGAGCCGATAGTTGGCCCGATACATTTTGAAGAGTCGACTGCACCATCTGCGACTGCGAGTCGATCTGCTGAGGAATCGTTAATGGAACTGATTGCGATATCGGTTGCGTTTGGCCCTGGTGAAGCAACTGTTGGCTCTGAAATGCTTGTTGAAAATTCTGTTGTCCTTGATATACCTGATGTATGATCTGTCCTTGGTAATTGTGAATAGGCGGTTGAATCTGTAACTGGCTCGCTTCCGGTTGTATAGGTTGAAAATATTGTTCGGATTGTACAGGCTTATGTTCGATTAAAGCGGAAGTAGCGATGTTAGGCACAGCGGTCGGTTGTTCATGGCTGGTTAGAGGATGAGGCGTAGCAGATTTTGATTTCGGATTCGACAGTATGTTCGCTAAATTTTGCGCAAGATCCGGAAGCGTCGAGGACACCTCTTTCGTTTTCGTTATAATCTTCGGCGTGGAAACGTCCGCAGCGACGACTGGATGTACAGGAAGAGATACCTGGGGCACAGATGGTGCCAGAGTTCCGGAAATATGCTGCACGTTAGGATGAACAGTTTGTAGCTGCTGACCAGTTTCCACAGCACTCTGGGCCAACGATATCGCACTTGGCATATCTTGCGGGACCACTTGTACATGTTGCATATGCGCCATTGGCGTATTGGCAGTAGCCAAGGCTTGTCTTTTCTCTTCAGCCATATTAGATACTTCCGACATCTGAGAGTCGATAGACATGTTGGTGGAGAGACTCGGCACCCTACGACTTCGATCATCCAAATTCGCTGTTTGTATGGTTTGCATAGGTCCCGACAACATCACATATTGTTGCGTTGGCGGCTGCACTTGCTGTGGCACGAACTGTTGTACCGCCGGTGGACGCTGAGCTTGCATTTGACTCTGGTGCTGGTGTTCCGTCGATATGTGAGACTGCATTACATTCTGCTGCATGGGAATCTGCTGCTGCTGTTGTTGCATCATCAGGCCAGATTGTACCATCGTTTGGTTCTGATACTGCGCTTGCTGAGCTATCCCGTTAGTAGTATGAAGTGATTGAGGTTGCAGTTCCTTCTGCGTGCTCACCGGTACAAAATTCTGCATACTAATCTGAGGTATCTGCTGGGACGTTTGTTGCGAGGTGATTGTGGCTCCCTGCACAATTACAGTGTGCTGATTCGACTGTCCGATAGTTGTGGTTTGTTGCATATGTCCAGTTACTTGTTGCAAAGTCTGCATTTGAATGATATTCTGCAACCCCACCGACTGCTGTCCTTGCTGCAAAGTCTGTTGTTGACCACTATCTGTTTGTTCCACGGTATACTGAACTCCTTGAACCATTGTCTCTATATTGCAAGCTTTTTCGTGTATCGCTATAGCCTGAGCTTCTACAACATTTGTTTCTACATGATCTTCATTTTTTGGTAAAGGTTCCGCGCTCCCAGCACTTCCAACTGATTGGGACACTGACTGCGACGTCGTAGCGTTCGTACGATCTGTACTTTCGCTAGTAACGGAAGATTCCTCTTCCGCTGCAATATTTTTCTGTTCAACCACAGGACTGACTAAAAAGCGAGAAACTTTACGTACCGGTGTTGGTACTGTCAAGCTAGATATTTCTGCAGTTACATCGGATACACTTGTCTCTTTAATCGCTTCATATTCTTTTACTACATCTCGCAGTTCTTGAGATCCTTTCGACGTCTCGTTTGCGTGACTCGCGTTCATCATCATATCTTGCATTTGAGTTTGAACATGCGTTGTAGAGCTTTGATAAGATTTTAAAGCTGAGTTATTGGCGTCATTTTGAATATTATGATGCGCTTCCATTACCGTTTCTGCGGACATCACGGAAACAATAGTTTCTTGATTGTCCGTCGGATCACTTGGTATATTCGTGGGAGTTAAGGTATCGGTATTTTGCGTAGATGTAGACGATCTCCTGGAAGCCTCCGCTGATGTATTCTCGATGCCTGCTTGACTATCGGATGTTTGTGCGACTTGCTGTTTTTCCAAACTAGTATTGGCGATATGAGAAATAATTTGGTCAATCGGCAACAATTTCGTCGGAGTAGAAGTATTTGAAGTTTCGTCTCTCTGAAATAGATAAAATATTTGTTTTAATATTTGTTAAATATTTATTTGTACTGAGAGAATACTGATTGGTAAAAGATATAAAAACAATGGTCAATAATGTATGAAAATGTTAACAATTCTGCATCATAATTTTCGAAATCCTGCATTCATAATCATTTTCGCAAACATTTAACATACATTGGTCTTGTAAAAGATTATTTAATAATATTCTTGATAAGCATTCCTTATATTTTATATATACAATATATATATAAATATAAAATATCTTGTCTAACTTTCTCTGATGTTGAGTATAATATTTTAAAAATCTCTGATATATATATATATATGTGTGTGTGTGTGTGTATGTATATATGTATGTATGTATGTATGTATGTACGAGGACAGTCCGATAAGTACTTAGCCTACAAAAAACAAAAATTTTGGAAAAGTGACGATTTATTTCTCAACATAGTCTCCTTTTAGCTCGATACACTTGACCCAGCGATGCTCCAACTTCTTTAACCCATCTGAAAAATACGTTTTTTTGAAGTCTGCAAAGTAGGCCTCCGTGGCGGCGATGACCTCCTCATTCGGCCAAATTGGTCGAATTGGACTACGAACTGCTGCCCCCTCCACCGTATTCTCCAGATTTGTCCCCGTGCGACTTTTTTTTGTTTCCAAACTTGAAAAAGTCACTCGCCGGGCAGAAATTTGAGTCAAATGAGGAGGTCATCGCCGCCACGAAGGCCTTTGCAGACTTCGAGAAAACGTATTTTTCAGATGGGTTAAAGAAGTTGGAGCATCGCTGGGTCAAGTGTATCGAGCTAAAAGGAGACTATGTTGAGAAATAAATCGCCACTTTTCCAAAATTTTCGTTTTTCTTTTGTAGGCTAAGTACTTATCAGACTGCCCTCGTATATACACGGTGACCCATTTAATCGACAAACAGAGATATCTCCGAAACTACGCAACCTACGAAAAAAATGTTCGGATAAAAGTTTTCAAGGTCATTTCAAGGTCAAGGTCACTTTTTTAAATGGAACCCCCTATTTTTAATGCCGGATTCGGAAAGAGCGGGAAATTTTACATCAAGATATGTATCAAAGTATAAGGTTAACGTGATTTCCATAGGTCAAATGAAGGTCAAGAAACCACTCCTATCAAACCCCAAGCAGGCTAAACCATCTAACTTTGGGAACAGCGAGTTTAATCGTTTCTTTTTCTTTAAAATAAATTGAATTCCAATCCACAAGTAGACTGACTCACAAGCTCGTGCATTATCTTCGTTGTATTCATGACGTCGACGTTGTCGAACCAGATTTCTATCACGAGCTTATTGAGGTAGGTTTCGAACTGCTCAGTTGTTAGGATGTCTTTCATCTAGAAAATATTTAGTAAAAGCCTTCAAGTAGCAAGGTAGTTGTTATGGCAAACTACTATCATATCACTAATTTTATTTGCAAGGTAGCCTGCCATACTGAGAAAATGGCTTTAAAGAGTTTAATTCGTTCAAAAAGTTTGTAATTAAACTGTACGGGGCAACATTTAAAACTATTAGTTCATCAAATCTGAAGTGACGAAATATCTTTCTTACGTTTGCTGCACCTGCTTGGGATTTGGTAGGGGTGGTTTCTTGACCTTCATTTGACCTATGCAGGTCACGTTAACCTTATACTTTGATACATAACTGGATGTAAAATTTCCCGCTCTTTCTAAATCCGGCATTAAAAATAGGGGGTTCCATTTAAAAAAAGTGACCTTGACCTTGAAATCACGTTGAAAACGGACCTCAAGGTCAAGGTCATTAGTACAGGTAGATGACCCCCACTGTCCTCGACAACTTTTATCCAAACATTTTTTTCGTAGGTTGCGTAGTTTCGGAGATATCTCCGTTTGTCGATTAAAATGGGTCACCGTGTATGTATATATAAGGTGTTCCATTTTATTTTTAACAGTCAAATATCTCAAAAAATATGGGAAATATGGAAAAATGTTTCAGACAAAAGTTATACGGCTTTAAGGTAGACAAATGATGATAAAATTCGTTTAAAAAAGACAATTTTTCAAAGTCATATGAAGGCCATCACTATTCTTTTTTTACTGGTATGTGGTATTTTTTATTAAAATATCTGAAAAAATATTTAATTTTACGTAAAATAATATTAGAATATCTTTGGTCTAAACTCATTATGTAAAGAGATATTTCATAAAAAAAAAATCTCGAACAGCGTATACATGCGTAGTTCCCTTCTTAGTTAACACTTTGCGGGCCGCTGTCACGCTGACGTGACTTTTGCTCGCCAACGGTTATCGGCCGCTGTCACGCTGACGTGACTTTTGCTCGCCAACGACTTTCAGCCGCTATCACGTGATAATTTGACGATCAGGAAACATTGTTTTCAACTGTTTTCCTTATTTTAGTGCCTTCTTTAATAATAATTATATACCAACTATTTATGTATCGAAAAATTGCGTAAATATCACCGTTGGCGAGCAGTAGAACCTGCGTGAATCTCACCGGCGGCAGCGTAACGGCGCTTCGATAAATGCGCGGCCCGCAAAGTGTTAAATCTAGGACCACAGACGAAGACGGGAACAACCGTCTTGCGCGCGCGCACCCAGAGATCACCCAGACCCTATGGTTCATCACTTCTATGCTCTATGACTCTAAACTCTCTCTAGTATTTGTAAAATTTTAGTTTAATAGTTGTTCAATATTGGCACCGTCAACCTCATGCCATAATCTAATTCTCCGACGGAAATGTTCTTCTAATGACAATAACATTGCGTGTACTACGTAAACTTGCGCATACTACGGCTAGCATCTCTTATTCTTCTTTTCATATCATCTTTAGTTGTTAATGAATTTTGATAAACTATATTTTTAATATAGCTCCATAAATGTGATGTCATCTTGCTATTTGAGAAGTATCATATACGAAAGAAAATCGGAAGTGTCGACTTAATTTAGTAATGGGCGAATATTATTTAACATGAACTGTCGCTATTAATGACAATCATAATCGCGTAATCTTGAATTGCTTAATTTTGAATTATCGGCACGTCAACACGTGATTCTACATGAAACACACGAATAATGCAAAGTGTTGCGGATCGAGCGAACCTCGCCGCAGCGAAGCTCTCTGAACGCCGGATTACCGTGCGCCAAGCGCGGTTGTCTTGCCGTCGAGCGTGCGCACACGCAGGATGGTTGTTCCCCTACGTCTTCGTCTGTGATCCTAGATTCAGCTGAGAAGAGAACTACACACATATACACTGTTCATAGAGTTTTTTTTGTTTTCTTTTTATTTTCTTGAAATATCTCCTTGTATAATGTATTTACGTCAAAGGTATCCTAACACTTTTTTACGTAAAATTAAATGCCCTTTCAGATATTTTAAGAAAATATACCACATTCCATTTTAAAAATGGCGATAACCTTCATAATACCTTGATAAGTTTTTTTTTATTAATTTTATGATTATTTGTCCTCCTTGGAACCATATAACTTTTGTCTGAAATATTTCTCCGTATCTCCCACATTTTTTTAAGTATTTGACTGTTAAAAATAAAATGGGACACCCTGTGTGTGTATATATATATATATATATATATATATATATATATATATATATGTATGTATGTATGTATGTATATAGGGTGTCCCATTTTAAAAGACCCATTAAAATATCTTTTTAGAAAAGCGTTTTAGAGAAAAACATTTTAAATAAAAGTTGCAGGATTCAGAGGGGGACATCCAATGATGACCTTGTCTTCGTCATGGATGTCCTTTTTTCAAGGTCATTCGCAGATCAATTTTAGTTTCTTAAATGGAATGGCCTATTTTTGATACCGAAAATCGATGGAGGAAGAAATTTTACGTTAAAAACATATAGCAACATGTAGCATCAAATTAACCATCCAATTGACAAAGGGTCATTTCAAGTTCAAAAAATTTTCATTCCAAAAATGAATAAAGCATATCAGAGCAGTCTGATGTTCAGTTATGTTTCAAGTTGACTTCAGAGATCATTTCAAGGTGTACTTGTACTCAGTACATATATTGTGTATGTACTCAATACGTGAATGGAACCATTGCTTCGCACGACCGTTCCATTTCGATTCAATAAGGACTTTTGCAACGACGCATACGTTCGTCTCACTACGAGTCGTCGAATATTTTCTCGAACAAAACGTATACGCCTCACACTACTTTTACCAAATGTCACTGAAAACCAATACTGACCAACACGCTTGACTTTTCGAGCTTTTCCTCGATGTTACCCACGCGATAATGTTCGCCATATTTGCTCCGATTAACACACCTTTAGCCTCTCGTTGATCCTGCACACTTTCGGAACTTTTCGACGCTCGCAAAATCACCTCTTTTTTTTACGAATAAATTTCAGGTCAAAAATTATACGAATACACTCAGGCCACTATCCCACTTCTGAAATTGTAAGAAATAATAATTGATATACTTTCTTAAATCGTCACTGTTATCTGCCAATAGAAGAAACCAATCATACCTTATTTCATCTTAGAAATTTAATTTTCTAGATATAGCGAAATGCCAGATTATACTCCAAACGAAATCGTTGATATTATTCTGGCACTTGGAGAGTGTCGTAATAATTATCGACAAACAAAAGAATTATGCAATCAGTTTCCTCAAAGACAGCATTCGAATCATCTTACGATTGCCAAGATTGTTTTATTCCAACGACAACATCCACGTGAAGCACGGCAAAGACTTTGTTTCAACGTACCAGAAAGGCATAATCCACAAGTGCTTGCCGTGTTAGATATGGCCGCCATTAATCCTTATGTATTAATACGGTAAATTGAAAGCGAATTAGGTATCCCGAAATCAACAGTTCACAGGATTTTGAAATTTCATAACTTCCACCCGTACTGCTACTTTAACTCAGGAATGAATACCTTAAGATTTTCAACAAAGACCAGTGTTTTGTGGATGGACACAGATAATGTTGTGACGTGATCCAGCATTCTTTAGATATGTATTGTTTAGTAATGAGGCTACGTTTCACAGTACTGGATAATTAAATCGGTACAATTCTCATTATTAGTCCGTACAAAATCAACACTGGTATCAATCATCAACATCGTTGGAATTTGTGTGGTGTGGCATTCTAAATAAAAACATAATCGGACTTGACTTCTTCAATGAAAATGTAAATAATGCTAATTATTTACATTTTTTTACAGCACAACTTGATAGAATTGCTTGACAACATCGATCTGGCAACTAGGAAACGTATGTGATTTCAACAGGATGGTGCTTCACCACACTGGAGTAGGATAGTTGGACAACATTTGAATCTAACATTCCCAGGTAGATAGATAGATCGTAATAGACCTGTTTCATGGTGTTTTAGGTCTCCAGACTTGATTTAAGTCCGGATTTCTTTTTATGGGGTTTTTGAAAAACATTGTGTATTCAAAACAGCCCATTACAAAAGAAATATAAGCTCTCTTGCTTGTCGGAGCGTTCCGAGAAATATTCTTTTATCAATTGATAATTTTGAACGTCCAATTCAATTATGTCTAAACAATAATGGGCAAATATATTTGAACATTTACTTAGGTAATGAAAAAACACTCCCAGATCGTGAGAGGCATGGAGACTCACAATTGCGTTTCCATTTAGAAAAAAATCAAGTTGACAAATGACCTCTGGAGCCAATTGGACCCCATGGCATGAAGAATAACTGAACGTCAGACTGCTCTGATATGCTTTATTCATTTCTGGAGTGAACATTTTTTTTTACCTTGAAGTGACTCTTTGGGGTCAATTTGACCCTAATATATTGCTACATGTTTTTAACATAAAATTTCCTTCTCTATCGATTTCCGGTATTAAAAATAAGCCATTCCATTTAAAAAACAAAAGTTGACCTTCAAATGACCTTGAAAAAGGACATCCGTGACAAAGATAAGGGCACTATCGGATGTGCCCCTCTGAACCCAACAACTTTTGTTTAAAATGTTTTTCTCTAAAACGCTTTTCTAAAAAGATATTTCAATGGGTCTTTTAAAATGGGACATTCTGTATATGATAATATAAGAAACAAGTACTTCACACTGCAAGAATAAAAAATCAAAATTTGTATATAATACAATAAATAATGATTTCCATAAAATAACAAAAAGAAAGAAATCTGGCATTTAAATTAATATATTAAATAAATACAGCACGCAAAGTGGTTCCTTCGAGAATGTATATGTACATTATACAATGGTGCAAGATGATAATCTATAAAAGAAGTATGTAAAAAAATTATAAAACGTAAAATATTATAATACTTATAGATATCAAAATTTTAATATAAATGTTATGTGTTATAACATCTTACACATCATGTGTATAGATATTATGAATATACAAAGATCGTTTGATAAGTTCTTAGAGAAGATATGAAAATATAATTTTTATTTTTCAATATAATCTCCCTCAAATTCAATATACTTAATTATAACAATGTTCAGGTTTTTTCATGTCTTCTATATAATACAATTTATCTTTCTCGTCGAAATAGCTGTTTACAACATGAATTACTTAAATATTCGAATTAAATCTTTTTCCACCCAATCATTTTTTCAAGTTTGAAAATAGAAAAGTCGCATGGAGCTAGATCTGAAAAATACAATGGATGGTCGACTGATTCGAAACGTAATTCATGCAATTTGACCATTGAAACTGCAGACGTGTCAGTTAGTGCATTGTCCTGAGGAAAGAGCTTTCTTTTTTTCTTTGCCATATGAGAACATTTTTCCTTGATCGCATCATTAAATTGATCCAATAAAGATGCATAATACTCTCCTGTAATTGTTTTTCTTTTTTCTAAATAGTCGATGAACGATATTCTATGCACATCCCCAAAAATTACCATAACTTTTCAAACTGATGGAACTGTTTTTACCTTTTTTGGTACGTTCATCAGGAAAAATTAATTATTCTGACTGTTCTTTTCTGATCGATCTATGTTTCATCAACGGTTACAAAACGACGTAAAAAATCCTTTCTTTAACAAACCTTGAACTTTTCTAAACAACGTTTTGAAAGTTACTCGATTCGTTTTTGACCAATTGTGAGCAAACACAGCACTCATCTTGCAGATAGCTTTTTCATACCCAATTTTCACCTAATATGCTGTAAACTTGATCTATGCCTGTAATCTCAACAATCTCATGCATTTTCACTCTGCGATCTTCTAACACGATATCATGGATTTTTTCGATCATTTTTAGTTATCATTTTTGGACAATTTGAATGTTGTTCATTACTTGTGATTGTACGACCATGTTTGAATTCAGTTAACTAATTATACAGGGTGTTCCCGGGTTAAATAGTCAAACTTGAAATATATATTTAGGACCTCAAAACAAACAAAATTTTCCCGAGAAAGTGCTCGCAAACGCTTCGTTCAAGAGATATTGATTTTTCAAATTATAGAACTGTAGGAATGAATAATGTCGAAATGTCTCTGTTTCTTGTTTTGAAGATCGCAGGTCATTGATAGGCTTGTGTTTGTAAACAAAACTCCTTTTACAAATAACTCTTAGTTCGTTGAATGCTTTCATGAAATAAACTAGTACAATTGTGCCTCATACGTATTCTTTTAGTGAATATGCTGATATGGTATATTTATATGGGTTTTGTGATGAAAATACTAACGCTGGTCACCGTGAATATGCCGCGCGATTTCCGAACAGAAGATTGCCGAATAAGTTTGTACTTTCTTCAACACTTCAACGATTAAAGAAAACTAGGTCATTTAATATGATGCCCCGGGCTGATGGAGTTTTTGCACCGCTGCAGAATGAAAGAAGAACAGCCATCATATTGCAGCATTTCAATCAAAACCCATTAATAAGTACCCGAAGATCTGCTTCTGAATTAGGAATTTCATCCACAATCATATGGAAGACACTCTGAGCCGATGGATGTCATCCATACCATTTTCAACGTGTCCAGAATTTATTACCGGCTAATATGCTACGCAGGAGAGCATTTTGCGATTGGTTTTTAAACCAAACAAATAATAATCAACAATTTTCGTAAAACATTTTGTGGACAGATGAGGCCACATTTACCAGACAAGATATTCTCAATCAAAGAAATAGTCATCTTTGGTCATATAAGAATCCACGAGCAATCCGTGAACATTTCCAACACGGTTTTCAGTGTAATGTGTGGTTAGGAATAATGGACAATACTTTAACCCTTTGACTGCTATGGGCGCATATATGCGTCCAGCGAAAACCATCGGTGTGGCCTATGGGCGCATATGTGCGTCCGGCGCAAGCCATCGATGTAGACTATAGACGCAAATGCGCGCTCGGCGAAGGCTTTGGCTGTTTACTGCTGTCTCATGTCTTTTGTTTATATATAGAGTATTTATGTTACTTACTTGTTATTTGTTCAATTTTTCAATTTCCAATATCCAAACACATACATTATAACTATCAAATTATGGCGTTTTAAAACTTTACTATTGATGAATAAACAATATATATTGAAAATAAAAAATGATTGGATTCATTTTGCAGTGGACAAAGTAATAGTAATTGGATTGTGTACTATATTATAATGTGTTAATACGCCGTCGATAAGATCCATATTGCGCGCAAAAGTATTCAGTCCCCAGCGATCGCTACTGCCAGCCGCACGCCGCTCACGCGAAGCGCTTCAACTTAGAGCAGTTAGCAGTCAAAGGATTAATTGGACCCCATTTTCTATCAGCTCACTTGAATGCGAACGAATTTCTACAATTTTTGGATAATGCATTTTATGACCTTTCGGATAATGTATTTTATGATCTTTTGGAAAACAATTCTTTAAATATGAGAGTGAACTCCTGGTTTCAATTTGATGACTGTCCTGCTCACTATGGCAGAGGTCCCCGACAATGGTTTAATATTCATTTTCCCGGAAGTTGGATCGGTCCTGGACCTGTATCTTGGCTTCCGCGTTTACCGGATTTAACATCATTAGATTTTTTTGTATAAAATGCTCTCAAGCAAAAAGTATATAAAATACCTGTTAATGACCTTCAATCATTAAAACGTAAGATAGTGCAAGCGTGCGAAGAAATTACAGATGCACAATGTCAATCGGCCATTCGTTTTGTCATCGATAGATGCAATGCTTATCTCCAGGCTAAGGCCATTATTTTGAACAAAATGTTTAATAATTACATTTTGATTACTGTAAAGCAATAAAAAGGATAAACCTAGATTATTTCGACATTTTTCATTTCTATATTTCTGTAACTTAAGAAGTCAATATCTCTTGAATGAAGCGTTTGCGAGCATTCCAGAAGAAAATTTTGTTCGTTTTGAAGTCCTAAATACATATTTCAAGTTTAACTATTTAACTCGAAAACACCCTGTATACTGTTGTATTTGATAAAGTGCGGACTTGCTTAAAGTATCATTCATGTTTTCGATCATTTCTGTAGGCTTTAAGCCTTTCAAAAACAAGTATTTAATGACTGTTCAAATCTAAATTTTATCTATTTTGAAAAGAAAGCAACAATAGTTCACTTTAGATAGCTGTCACAACAAAACTAATTGATGAATCTGTTTGAAACTTTGTACGTAGAAGTTGAATGGATGATAGACGTCAACTACCATATTTGATATTAGCAACTCTATCTCATATATTTTCTAGGACTTATCAAACGACCCTCGTAAATGCGTCATAAATGTATCCTATAATAAAACAAAATTATAAATGACCTAATTAATGTCCACAGATCTAGGGTATAGGTTGGTTATTGCAATAAAATGAGGTGTGTAAACGTCCACGATTGATATGATTCTGAAGTATAGGATAAACGGGAGGAAGGATGGTGGGATCGATGAACTCACCGAACGGTGCCTACGGTGGACTTTGTACGACGATCGGTGGCTGCTTTGACGTGTTAGCGAGCCATGTCTCACCTGCTGCGTCCAAAACCATATACACCAATTATATGTGCACTCTAGTGATTCTACGTTTATAATATAAGTTCCACACAAAGTTGCTCCTATGCGTTATTTATTAATAATTATTCCACTCTCTGAATGTAGCTTGGTTTTAGACGAGAATACAAAGTGGGGTCTACTTGAGGAGAAAATGACCGCACTATTTATACGAATTATTATATTTATACACATACGTATGTTTGAATATTATATTCTCCACGCTTACGCGTCAAAAGTATCCGGCAATAAAAATATTATTAACAGAATCTGCGAAATATGATGTAATACCGCGTGAGTATTGCATTGTACGTTGCATCCTTGACAATAATATGGAAATTCAGTTTACGAATTAATGTTAGAAAAATTTTACCTTAGCTGTATCGAGACTGTGGTCACGATCCCTAGGGCGTCGGCTTGTAACCGGGCTTCCACCAGCAGATTGATCGGGCGGACCGTGCGCTACTAGGGGTAGAGTACGTGTAGGATCCAAGCGTAATTGCTTGACGATGTCTTCGATTAATTCTATAAACGTCTCGCATTGAGACTGCGGCAAAAGATTTTCCGCAACCTAGAGGAAATATCGAGGGGAAAGGTATAAAATAAAGGAAAACAGTGAGACAACGATGCATCAACACGTATATTCTCACCAAATTATTAGCGATGTCCGTAGGTACCATATCGTCCCGATCGAATTTAAAAGTAACAGTCTTTTGTTTACTCGTATCTAACTGACATTCGACGGTCATTGATTGTCCTTCGCCACTACTGACAGACAAGACCGTTAATTTGATGCCCGGCTTCTTACGTTTTGTTCCAGAACGTTTTATTCGGCTTCTCTCGGAAGTGGTGACACTTTCGGAATTTTCAGATGTGATTCTGGAAATAAAATATCGAAACATTAAATTTCCAATATTTCTCGTCTTTTTATGTATTTTTTATATATCAAGCTTTTCTATTTCACTGTACCCATCGTTCGATACTACAGATTGCTGATGCTGTTGCTGCGTGACACCCGCTGCGGCGGTTGGAGGAGGTGCGACAATTTGATCTTGCTGCAGAGTAACTGGTACATCTGGTGGCAGAGATTGAATCGAATCCATAGTATCTTGTTTAATCAAGGAAGACCTGTCAGTCGTGGGACACTGTTCTGTATTCGAAAGAAAATGTTGCTGCAGATTGGTAGATGATTGTGCCGATATGTTCGCGACGGGTGTTATTGAGATCGAATTGGGCATGACACTTGCACTCTGCGAATATTGCATCTGCACTAGAATATTTTGCTGAGATTGAGGCTGATGGCCGGTATTAGTGAGCAAAGTAGGCGCACTCTGCATATTAGGAATTGTCGAAGTTGGTACATTCTGTATCACTTGAGTCACTGCTGACGAACTGTTGACATTTATGGCTGACGGTATGGACGCCTGAACCTGTGCTGTTGGTTGAATATATGATTGCGACGACGCAGGAACTGCAGCCGCAGACAGATTTGTGTGAGAATAAATCTGCGTGGCAGTTTGAGTGGACGACAAGATCTCCACGTGGCCAGAGGGATTTGTGGACGTGGTGTATGTGTGAAAGATCTGTTGCGGCATCGACTGCTGATACAGAGAGCCGGCTGATACATATCCCGAGGAACCAGTAGCATTTTGCTGGTAATATTGTTGACTCTGAACAGGAGGTGAACCAACCGAATGTTGATGTATCTGTTGCACATGCTGAATCTGAGGCTGCGCATATTGTTGTTGTGCATGTTGAAGCTGTTGATGCATATGCTGTTGCTGCGACAACATCTGCATCTGTTGCTGCACTTGAGGCTGCATCTGTTGCTGCACCTGATGAGGAATCGGTTGTGGTACGCTCATTTGGTTTAACTGTATGTATTGCTGTTGCTGTTGATGTACATGCTGCTGCTGTTGCATTTGCTGCTGGGATATTGGTTGTTGCGGTATTTGCTGTTGCGATATTTGCTGTTGCGGCACTTGAGGGAATTGAGGCTGACCTTGAACATTTTGCGGGGTCGAACACTGCGGAGAATTCGCGCTTAGATTCTGTGGCACATGTTGAGGATATTGTTGTTGCTGCTGTTGTTGATACTGCTGTTGTATTTGCTGCTGATATTGTATCTGCTGCGCTTGTTGAGGTTGCACAACTGACGTTTGTTGTTGGATTATCGGCTGTTGTTGAACTAATTGCACCGGCTGCGGTTGCAAATTGTGCTGCTGAGCTTGTTGTGCGGCTGACTGCAATTGCTGCTGTTGAAGAGGTATCTGAGTCTGTTGCAATTGCATCGGCACTTGACTTTGCATCTGCATACCAATATTGGATTGGATTTGCTGTTGCTGTTGTTGCTGTTGTTGTTGCAGCTGCATTTGCTGAAGTAGCAATTGCTGTTGAAGCAAATTCTCAGCTGTGTTGGTCGTAGCATCGGTCTCTCTGTCCAAGCGTCCCTTCTCTTCTTTGGCTTTACGTTCCTCTCTTTCTCTTAACAGAGTGGTAATTTGCGATTTTAACATCTTAGCCACTGCTTTAGCGTCCTCCTCTAATATGAGGCTGGACTTCGCCATTTCTAGTGCTACATCCTCCGCGTTGTCGGCCTGAATATCAAAGTCGAATTGTATTGCCTCATTCTCTTTGTGTTTATTACTGCGCTTCTTAGGATCCAGCACACGCAGTCTGAATTCAACGCGCGACAGCTCGGTATCCGCAACTGCTGAATCCCGTGATACCATCTCCAATTTTAACCCAACGTCGTCTGCGAAAAATTCATGATTGAGTAAGTCTTTGACAAGCGGCCGTTCCTCTTTCTTCAGACGTATACACATTTCTATGATATCGCGTACTTCCGGATTTTCAACCTTGTCATAGCTCTGCGGCTTAACACCCTGTACAATATAAATAGATCATTATTCAAAATATATTATCATTACAAACCATTAGAATTACATATTTACACATAAGAATTTGAAGTAGAAATATATAAACACACACCGATACCACACGTTTGTATATTTGCGCTGGTCCTGTACATTCGGAATATGGATATTCGCTAGTAGCCATTTCGAGCATACACATTCCAAAGGCATAAACATCTACTGATTCATCATAATGCTCTTCGTACATCTCGGGCGCCATAAATTCTGGAGTTCCAATGACACTCTTCGCAAAACTACGATTTTTTAATGTTGCCAAACCTAAATCACCAATTTTCACACTTCCTGTCGTGCCTGTGATAAAAATATTATCGCACTTCAAATCGCGATGGATAATGGGTGGTGATCTAGAATGAAGAAAACTCAGGCCCTTTAAAATTTGCCGACACCAAGATTTTACGACCTTGGGATTGATCTTCTTAAATCTCCTCAAATACCTGTTACAATATAGATAATAAAAACCATGTCAATGATAATGAATATCTATGAATATCTAAGGAGGAACTTACGTTTTCAATGTTCCTGATGTCATAAGTTCAGTGACTAGTACGATATATTTTCTACGGGTAAGTGTAACTTCCCAATAGTCGTAAAATCTTACAATATTTGGATGCTGCAATCCTTTTAACATTTCTGCTTCCTCCCTAAATCTTAGTCTTTCTGTCTTATTCAACTTTTTCTCCTGTAGGAAATAAAAATATACATACATCTTAAATACATAGTCAAAGTTAAACTTAAAAGACAGTTATTTATTAGATTTAATTAAAAAAAAATTAACTCAAAACAGTTGAACTTCAAAGAAAAAACTCTCAGTATGGTATTTCACATAAAAGTCTAGCTCACCTGCAATTCGCACCAAGCTACAGCTACACCTGTCTGGGTGTCTAACCCACGATAAACAGTCTTGAAACTACCACGACCAATTTCCTCTTCAAATTTCAAGAATCTTCCGTCTGGCGAAATACCTATAGCTTTTTCTTCATCGTCATCATCCTCAACAGCTTGCACTTTAACTTTCATCAATAAATTTTGAACCTCTTCCATCGCCATCGTTTTTTGTGACAATTTTTCATCCGCTTTAAAGTTTTCGTCGAGTAACGGACCAATAAAACCTTCTACCGTTTCCTCTTGAGAGACTATATCCTTTTCAGGATGTTCTATCTTCGTTTCATCACGCAAATTCTTATTCTGCACTTCTTCCATCTCGGTGTCTAATGGCGGTACTTTACCTAATTTACTTAATGATTCGTGAAGTGCTTGTGTAGCCACTATATCGCTAATACTAGTACCATCGTCATCTTCGTATATTGTCATTCTCTCCTCCTCTTCTACCTTCTCTACTTCTGACGCCTTGGCTTCCGTTATTTCTTCTAATACCTTTGACGTTACAAATCTTGAATTTTTAATTATTTCTTCACTGATTGCTGCACTATCCTCCATATCCGTCTTATCGTTGCTCACAGTCTTCATGGTGTCTGTGGTTTCTTTACCCACAATGTCACTGCCATCCGTATATTCCATGGATTTTCTACCTTTTACTTCTTTATTTTTACTATTGTTGCTTGTGGTACTCATTTCTGCATCTATTGGTGTAGAATCGTCTATATCTTTTCCTAGATTAATCACTTCAATGTCTTTATTACTATGATGTTCGATCATTTTTTCTGCAGAATTTGGATTCTTATATTTTTGAACTTTTTGCTCATTGTTATTAACAGATTTTGCACCAACCGTAGAACTCGGCAATAATTTTTGTTTATGATTTGTTATAATTTCCTGATTAATTGATTTATGTACGGGAACTGGTTTTATCGGCACAGCAGTTTTTTGTTCAAATTCAGCTAAAATCATGTGTTGTACATCCACAATGTTCTCCGATAAATCAGTACACTCTGAGAGACTATTATGTTCCACATCTGCTTCATTCTTGCTGAATTTTGCTTGTTTCACTTTACTAATTGGTGTAGAAGGTGTAGAACTAGATCCTGTATATAACATAATAAGAGAAGCATTAACATATATAAACTTTAGTTTTTGTTTTTTAACATTGTGAAAATACTACCTGGTGTCGCAAATACATTCTCCGTTGCTGTAATCGCTTCTTCGGCATCGCTAAAACTACGGTCATTTTCATTATCTAATGATAATGAATTCACACTTTGCGTGGATGACTTCTCTGTAATGCGCAGAGCAGATAGTACTTTTTTTTTGGAAGATGGCGAGTTAGTGGTAAGACCGTTGCTAGTTATAGACAAAGAATCAGTATTCTGATCATGCCTCTGTGTTCGAATTTGTTTTTTGGAGAGGCTAGCGGAGCGACTTATATTGGACAATACCTAGAAAGATATTAGACTGCTGTAAAACTTGAAAGATGCAAAGACGTTGATCAGTTATATCAAATTTAATGATGCTTTCGAAATTACGCAATTGTCAGTAAATGCAGTTCAAAGCGAATGAATAAAGTTGAGCTAACTTTTCTATCACCAGTAGTGTTGGCACTAGGACCTGCTTGCGCGACAATAGATAACTTTCTTTGGCGTCTATGATTATGTGCGTGGCCGTGGATCCTTTGAGTCGTGACAACTGTGCAAGGCCCTCCACTTTCCTGAGAGGCTAAGTGGCCCACTGCCAAACTAATGCCACTTTGGCTACTGCTACTACTGGCCACCAGCTTAGGACATAAACTAGACAAGCCACCACCGGATCCACCTGAAGAGCGTTGCCTGTTTGTCTCATACCTGAAATTTGATTCAAATGATGTATTACACTGATGTTATACAGGTTTTATTTCATTCAAATAAATAAATAATATCGATTCTGATCTCTTTCGACTTTTCACATTAGTTAGATCTTAAAAACGAGACATACAATTTGGTCTACCTCAAGATTTAGAATATTATATTAAGAATCAATAATACATATTTTTTAAATTAATGAGAAGTTTGTTTCCGTGAAATTTAATGCTTTTAATTAAGATAATGAAAAGCGTGACGTTTGCACAAATACATATACATGTATGTAACAGAAATACTTCTATATTGTATGTAATTAGTGTTATTTAAAAGGAAGTGTTATTTATAAGTTAATTATAATGTAATTAGTGTTATTTATAAGGAAAAGCATAATTATCTGTACCAACAGTAGCATTGGTGCACAATAAACTTATAGTGTAACTACTAATTGATTTAATACAGTATATTCTCGATTACCTGAGCAAGATAGAGTCCATCTAATTATAGACTATAACTGTATATATTTCTATGTAAACAAACATTTCTTCAATACACATGATATTATTGATACTTGATGCCAATACCACTTATCTCAATATCACTGCTTCTATCCTTTCAAAAAATATAATATATACAAATGTGAATGTAAAAATCTTATAATTTATCATACATAAATATTAATTATTAATTGAGATTTAGTTTGAACTGCTTACTCTCAAAACAAACCAGCTTAAATTTTGCCAACATTACTAAGATTACATAGTGATATCGAAATAAATTTAACAAACTATAAAAACAGACTTTTAAATATATAACCGATCTTTCTTCGATTGTAAACAAATTTATTTCTATTTTTTTCAGGATCATCGAGAATCTACTAAATCAATAAGATCACACAAACGCGTAATTAATAATAGAATTTTATAAAGCAGAGCACTTTAAAAGACTCAACAATATTCATTGTAATCTGTTAGAAACAAATTTACAAACAGTAAAAAATGTTTAGTAAATTAATAATAAACTGTAACAAATGACAATGTAAAAAGCATGATTTTTGATACAGACATCATTATACCTGTCCTGCCTGCTGTGGCCAGATGAGAGAATTCCACGCACTGTATTGCCTATAGCTGCTCTCTTTTTGGTCTCCCTTTCTCTGTACCCCCCAGATCCAGTGCTCACCTGATGATCCTGACGATTACCTTTATCACCCTAGAATACAAAAATTGAAAAGAAACGTTAATTGCATCACATCAATTTTATTTCACATAAGAATAAATGAATAAATAGAAATAATTACAAATAATAAATAACAATTTCTAAAGTTTAATTTTGGATGATATACTCTATTTTAAATATACAGTAGAGTTCACAGCAGCATAATACTCAAAACAACTATCAGAACATAAAGTCACAATATCACAATATAAAGATATATGATTAAGAAAATATATATGTATATGTATATATATATATGTGTGTGTGTGTGTGTGTGTGTGTGTGTGTGTGTGTGTGTGTGTGTGTGTGTGTGTGTGTGTGCGCGTGTGTGTGTACACACATATATACATACATGCATGCATATATATATTTCTTAGAATCCCACCTTTAAACTGAGAAGCTTTATGTTTAAGTTAGAATTCGTGTTTGTTGGAACAGGACTTAGGTCACACCGAAGCCGTCTGTGTGATTTTTCAACTAGTGGTGGGTCTTCATCTATCTCCAATTGACTTCCAATCGAGAAAGCACGTGATTGCGTTAATACAATATCGTCTGTACTGTGCTTATGACTGCTATTCACTGAACTCACTGTTTTGCTGTCATTGTAGCATCTCGGCATTGCACATAACCAACTTTATTTAAGACTCTATACTTCACAAAATTATTTCAACTATTCTGCGTTTCTTTCCTTTCTCAACTTTACTCTGATGTAAAGTTAATAAGAATCAAACTATCATCACTTCTTCTCAAGGTAATCAAATTAAAACTTTTCTGATTAAGATTATCTTTTAACAAAGCAGTCTTTGTTATAAAATTTAAAATATCCGTATCTGTAACATTTTGGGGTTACGCTACATATCCCATCATACTAACTCCTGAACCACTTAACAAATTTCTAGTATCCAAGGAGTTGAAAGAATCTGAAATCAGAAAATAATTTAATTTAATTATTGTATGAGAATTATGAAGATTAAATTAACATTTCTATGTTGTGTTTTTGTATTTCATCAAATTGTATAATTATATTCATTCTATCTTGTGTTTTTGTATTTCATCAAAAGCAAAATTTTTATAATCTTGAAGAGAAAAAGAAAAAGAAAAAAAAATGCGAAAGAATTAAATCTCTGTGCAAAAAATATGAAAGACATCAAATTTCTATTTTAATTTATCAATAAATCCAAATTAAAAAATCTTATTTATTAATTTAAAAAAATATAATTATTTTAATTTTTAATCGTATGTAAACCAGTTTAATTAGAACATTAATGATATTCTT